GGACGGGACCTTGTAGAGTAGGGAATTAAAGGAGAAATAAACAGTGACTACATTATTTTCTCAAAACCTGAAACGACAAAAACAGATAAGTGCTCAACCTCAGACAATCTTAACTTTTCTCGTATCAAAACTTATTTGGAAGGCGACGATAACAAAGCCCTTATCGATGTTTTTAAGAAGTATAACTCATTTTGTTATTAAGGGCACCTCTTAACTCTTTAGACCCTAATTCTTTAGACCCTAACATAGTCTAAGAGAGACCTTACAAATTATAAGAGGTTGTTCGATATAAAAAAAAAAAAAAAAATGGATGCCCTCTTTGAAACAATCATTTTACACTTTATCAAGCCCCATTCTAATTGTAAAAAAACGAATGACAACTCTGACATAATGTATGTTGACTCTAGGGAGATTAACACCAATTCTTATAGTAAGCCTTTTGTTTTAGAAATTTTATACCGAACTATTTCCGCCTAGTACGATCCTTATGTCTACTCACTAAGTTAAAGGGTTTAATTAAACGGTCAGAAGTCCACGGTAATATCCGTAAATGGATAGTTCAAATACTTACCACGGAGTCTATTCTAACTATATTTGATCGCGAGCCTCCTATAGAATTACACACGAATGCCAGCGCCAACGGATACGGTACCATTTTAATTAAATGAAAGAACGGAGTTCCTCACGTTATTTCATATTTCAGTCGCCGGAAAACTGACACGGAATAAAAGAAGTATCATTCTTATGAACTTGAGACCTCGGCAGTCGTTCGAGCGGAAGAATATTTGAAGCAAAAGCTATATGGTCATCATTTTATTGTTTTCACGGGTGGCAATCCTTTCAAAGCTTCTTAGTTAAAAAAAAAAAAAAAATTAACACCGAGAGTACATAGATGACCCTGAGCAGGGCACTTCCAAGAGTGACAAAAGCAAGGCTCAAGTAGTTAATAAGTCTGTGCAGTTTGTAGAGGTAAATCAAGGGTGGTTAGCGGTAGAACAAAAACGTGATGCATATGTTCAAGATATTGTTGCTCAGCTCTTAAATAATAAGTTTCCCGATTCAATTAGTCACATCTACGATGTTAGAAACAATATGCTATATCGAAAAAAAAATTGAGCGAAACAAAGTTAGTCGTTGGTAACCTATCGTCCATCAGTCCCTTGTATGGACTTAAATCAACCATATCCATACTGAGATAGACACGTTTAGTTTCTTGATGGAGTGCAACGCAGGCAGGTATTTTTAGGTGTTCTGGGATTTGGTCCAGTCACCTTTTGGGATTTAGTCCTCTAGTTCGGTTACCGTCCACTTTTTCAATCACTAGCGGACGTTTAAAGCTGTCCGTAGTTCTGTCAGGGAACTGACCAATCAACGCCAGTATGTGCTGCAAATAGATATTAGATAAGCGCTGACCATATTTTGAGGTATGCGTAACATACTTCGCCATCACCACATTCCTAAGGCATCAATTCTTTGCCTGTCAACGACTTTCATAGTCCACGTCTTTGCACTATACAGAATCGGATAGCTAGATAGATAGAAATATAGAGAAGGCAAGCGTTCGTATCAGATGCATTTTTGTTCCATTAATAATTTTCCTATCTCTCCAAAAATTTTATTCAGTGGGGTTATTGCTATTTTGGCCATGTAAAATTCTCCTACGGATTTGCATACATTTTATTGGCATACTATTCACATACATAGATATGACTGGGACATTAAGTGGCAAAAGCGACAGAAAAGAAATACGCGTCAGTAATGATTGATTATGTTATCAAGTATGTCCTTTAAGAGCATACTCTATCCCTCGATGCCAGTTGTACTATTAAAGCGTTGAGAAAAGCTGTTTCTCTTTTCGGTGTTCTCAAGCGAATTGTTATATCGGGGAAGGGGCTTTGTAAGCGCGGACTTTAGAGAATTGAGTAAAACACCTCGTATAGAACTTTACTTTATAACAACAGGGGCAAATAAAGCCAACGGTCAAGTAGAAAGGGTCATGCAGATTTTAAAATGTCTGCTAACTATTATAGAAAACGATACCCATAAAACGTGGCGTGACAAACTTCCTGAGGTACAAGGGACGAAACCGCTTAGCATTCAATGGATTCACCGTGCGGGTGCCGGGTCCATCGCGTTGCAGGGAGGGGAGCTTCAGCAGTGCCTGGGACTTGCGACCCAGGTGTGGGTTTAAGGGGCCCCTTAACTAACGCGCGTTGTACGCTCACCTCCACTGTCCAAGTTCCTCTCCCTACCTGGCCAAATTTGAAAACTACTACTAATTGAACCTACTAGGGCTGAATTCGACGTGCGTTCCAAGAATGAATTAATGTTGGTTCTGGACGGGCCCAAGTCTTTTGGTAGGTTGTAGAGAGATTTGGCTGTTATACCTCTCGCTCCCACCTTTACCGCGTACGAATCGGCGACGAACCTATTTCGAGTTAGTTCGTTAGTGAGCTCGTAATACTTAGTGACAACGCGCTTTGAAATACGCGAATATAGAAATGTGTCTGGTCTGGAGGCTGAACCACAAGTATCCTCGGGCATTTTGTGTTGTTTCTCACACGTATCCATCATGATAGTCTAATCCGAAGCCGCTTTAAGGATAGAGTAGGGCTTGACGTTTGATTTTGTAGCCCTGGTGCTCTCTCTCACAAAACCTATTGATCGTTCGTTTGTGGTTGTTTCCCTTTGCGCTCTGGCTACCGAAGGACTGGCCGCTTCACGTATGATCTCTAAAACCCTATAGTGACGACGCGAGAGTTGACCGCTGTCCAGGAGAACCTTACATCTCACTAGCGAATGCTTAGCAGTTCCAACTGCCTTTCCGCAGATATAGCAAGTGTTTTCGGTACCTTTACCCCATCTTACTGAATTGCTCTGGTCTGGGAGAGTCCTCTAGCACTTAATAACACAAGCCGTAGGGTTACAGGATATACTCCAACAGAACTAATGTTTGGCATACGCGCGCAATCTTTAGGGATATCATTAATAGCCCAAAATTCAGACGAGCCGAGATTAGATTTAGACAATATCCGGAATAAAACTTCCCTCAACACTGAAAACGCAGATCAAAAGGAAGTAGTTAAATTTAATAAAGGCAAAGCCCAAGTAAAACCTTCTTTTCTTTCTCGGGGAGATTACGTTTTTGTTAAGTGTAGCGAGTGTTACCAAACTAAACTACAAAGAAAGTTTAGGGGACCTTTTATCATAATTAAAATTCTAGACAATGATAGGTACGAACTGAAACATACCGATGAATCTAATTGCACTTTAAAATACTCTCATGAAAACTTGAGCGCAGTACCCAGAGGCTTTGAAGGGTTAGTTGACATATCCACTGAACTAAGTAATGAGGAGGCCGAGACGGCGGGTCATGGAGTGGAGAGAATGGAAACGAAGCTATGTCAGATGATGAAAGTGAGTAGCTGAGTAGCTCTGATGGCCTCCAACATTGATAAACCATAAATGAGTTGTGTAAGTTTGAGTTGGTGTGTTTGAGGTGGCGATGAAACTGGCTGATGCGGCCGATGTTTCTAGTAGTGATGGATCAAAGCGTGCAGGGGCTAGCTCGATGGAGTCCACGTCCGGTCGACGCTTGATCAGGTTGTGAAGATGGACGGGCTAGCTCGGTGGAGTCTATGTCCGGGTCATCGTTCACTCACATGAGTTTGGCTAGTGGAGATGGACGGGCTAGCTCGGTGGAGTCTATGTCCGGGTCATCGTTCACTCACATGAGTATAAGTAGTGGAGATGATGGGGCTAGGTCATTGGAGTCTACGTCTCGATCATTGTTCACTGATATGTGTGTGATGATGCTCTGCAGATTGGTCAGACGAAAGTTGTCGTCCGGGTCAGATCCATTTACGTTGGCTGACTTGTCCTGGAACCTCTGCAGATTGTGGTAAGACGAAAATTGTCGTCCGAGTCAGAGCCATTTACGTTGGCTGGCTTGTCCTGGTTGCTCTGCAGATTGTGGTAAGACGAATAGTGTCGTCCGGGTCAGATCCATTTACGTTGGCTGACTTGTCTTGGAACCCCTGCAGATTGTGGTAAGACGAAAATTGTCGTCCGAGTCAGAGCCATTTACGTTGGCTGGCTTGTCCTGGTTGCTCTGCAGATTGTGGTAAGACGAATAGTGTCGTCCGGGTCAGATCCATTTACGTTGGCTGACTTGTCTTGGAACCCCTGCAGATTGTGGTAAGACGAATATTGTCGTCCGAGTCAGATCCATTTACGTTGGCTGACTTGTCCTGGATGCTCTGCAGACTGTAGTAAGACGAATGGTGTCGTCTGGTTCAGATCCATTTACGTTGGCTGACTTGTTCTGGATGCTCTGCAGACGGTAGTAAGACGAATGTTGTCGTCCGGTTCAGATCCATTTACGTTGGCTGACTTGTTCTGAATATTTTGAGTATCGTGGTAAGACGAATGTTGTCGTCCGGGTCACATCCACCAAAGGACCGACCTGTCCAATAGTACCTACTAATTGTGAACAGTTAACCTACATGCTGTTAAGTGACAAGGCGTTGTCGTCCGGCTTAATTGCTACGAGATGCTCGCCTTAAGTCTTAAGTACCATAGCACATTTTGATGATTGTAACTAGTCGTTTGTCAGGATGCCGAACGGAATAGACACAACTGTAGTTCATTGATCCGAGAACCGCCCAAGGACGGTCGAATGTCAGTCCGGCCGTGACGGCGCATCCGTCAAAAATCATACGTCAGGTTGACTTTTAGCTGTCTGAGGTTAGCCTAGTGAAGCGTCATTGTGATGGTAGCGAGGGCGGCCATCTTAGTGTGGTTCGGGATGACGCCCGCGCACCGCGCTCGTGACGAATCGCTGTGTATCGAAGTGATAGTGATATCTAGTGTTTCGATTGAGTTGGTGTCGTATTGAATAGACTGTGCTTTATCCCTTTCAAAGTATGAGTTCCCATGAAGGCCCTCCTGTTCTTATAACGCCCTCCTACAAATATTTCCACTGTATATTTACAGTAGTGTTGACCATAACAACCGTCTTCAGCCAGGATGAAGTGACAGTGACTACTCCTAGCGGGTAATTTCTGAAATAAACCTTATTAATGACCATCAAAGAGTACAATTCAGATTAAAGTGTGTTATTTCAGGAATTCTAATAATACCATTGAGGAGTGTATCCGAAATTGTCCGGTGACACCCGAATATAATCCAGTCTGTGGTTCCAATGGTGTGACTTATGACAATCCTGGAAGGTTTTTATGTGCCCAGGAATGTGGTGTTGGTAAATATCCACTTGTGAAGATTGTGTTGCTTTTCATCATACTTATAATGATTTATTATTAAACTATTTCTATTTATCTTTTCAGCCGTGACCCTTAAAAGACGTGGTCGCTGTTCAATACCACTGTGAAACGAATCTTAATTTGACGATAATTTGGAAGTATTTAACACTTTACATAAAGTAAATCTATAATATTTTCATTACAATTATTCATTTGTCTTTTTTCGTTAAATCCTCGGCTTAACTAAATGTAATATTATATTGAAATATAAATAAAATAAATGTTTCCGTTTTGTGAATTCAAAATAACCCATCATTTCCCAAGTTTACACGATACCAAGACAAAAAATGCCATTTTTAATTTGGTCTATCAGGTTATAAATATTTTGAGAGAAACAGTTTATAAAAAGATAAGTTTAGAGAAAAAGTATTTCAAATGATTTAAATATTTGGATTGAAACGTACATTACTGAGTAAGTTATTAAGTATTTATTTTGCTTTTATAGATATAATAGATCATATAAAGTTAAACTAAATTATAATATTTTGATTTTAAGTGTTGAAATAATAATGCAACAATAGTAAATTTAGATTTATATATCAAATAATTTAAAGACGGTTAATAGTACGCATTTATTTTATTGTATTTTATACTTCAACTTTAAGTTTATTTTATTTGCTGTAAATTAAATTTAATCAAACATTACTTTTAAATGTATTATAGAGTAAATTCCGTTAAATTACGTGTAAATGTTTGTACATGTACTGATAAAGAGAGAATACTACAAGCTTATAAAAGTGTCAAAAGTTGTTCTTTTAAATGTGTATTAAAGTGTAATTATAATATAACCCCATACAGCGATCAGTCAGATGAGAGGGAATAGTTTTTAAAACATAAGAATATGTCTAAGCAGTTTAAATTATTGAAAATGAACACTTGACTACAATTTAGATTTTAGAATTAAAATTTTAGAGTTACAAATAATGTAAAGATATAAAATTTGTTCAATTTAACCTTCATATGATTATTTTTTGCACTTTATTTCTTTGCACTCTGCACTTTTACATTTTATTTCGTTGCACTGAGACATTTTCTTCAATATGTTGACAAAGCAGTTTACGTAGTTCATGTATGAAATATTCCCTGTGTCTGGCCCAACGCTTAATTATTAACTTCTTTCAAGGAATATCGAGAAATTTAAATTTAATTAAATTGAGCTTTACATTTCTTTCGTGAGGCTTAGAATCTGTAGGTACATTGAAGAATTCTCTAAAGATTTATTCCACACAGTATATATGGATAAGAATCCGCTCATATGCATCTTTTCAGTTGCTTTAAATTTTGGTTGAATTTGGGGACTCTTAAATACAATGAATAATTTTCTTTTCAATTATATAACTACAATGACCAGTTAGTCCTGTTTATTTGCCTGACAAACGGCAGATGGTATAAAAATACAGTTTTAAATGTTTTAAGGGGTCTAGGGAAAATGTATAAAGAAATTTTGACGACAACACTTTGGTTGCGTAAATTATATTTTCGGATCTTACGCGTAAATTGAAGAAGCATCTTTAATTAGTAAATTATCCTTCGATTTATAAATATGAATGTGTTCACAAAGAAATAGAGTAAAGTAATGAGTTAGAAAAGTTTGAGGCTAGTTATTTTAAAGTCAGTCTTAAAAATAAAAGAATATAATAAGCTATAGCTTAAAACTTTAATATTATAAGTATTTTGTTTATTTTTTTATAAAACATAATATACTATTATCAATAAAAATATTGAAATTTCACAGTTTGATAAATTTCTTCATGTAAAGTGATACTTTTAATATAAATCTTTTTGTTTCATGTACTTATAACATATACATTAAAATCTAATTAGTGTTAAAATTATTTTATTATAAAAAAAAACTATCGATAAAAGTGTCAGACAACACTAGGAAGCCGCAGAACAGGAATCTGAGACGCTTCGCTTATAAAAACATGATAATGTCAATATATTAGCAGTGTTTACGACAGACTCGCTCAGAGTAGCACGTGTCGAGATCAAATATTAAGAGAATATAGTTTTTATAATGGACAAGTTGTTCGTTCTCTTTGTGGTGGGTGAGTAAACATCGCTCAGTGTAAAAGCTGTTATTTTGTGAAAAAAACTCCTACCTTCCGATACATGTTTGATTGCTATTTTTAAGACGTATTTTTTTATTGTGTTTCGGAAGACTAAAAGAAATTGCAGAAATGATAGCTTGAGGTCGTTAATTATTTATAGAGTTCATTATTTTTTGAAAGAAAATATTCACGTTTCGTATAAATTTTTTTATTTATTAATCTTCAATTAAAAAAATATGTAATATTTTTAATATTTTAATTCAGTTATATTAATTGTTTCTAGTAATATAGTATATGAACAAAAAAATAATATAATAAAAAAACTAATGGGACGTACTCCTTTACACTTTAATGAAATTTACTAGAACATGAATTTAGCAAATGCTTTTAAGTTTAAAGGTGTTTAATTTATTTCTTTTATTTTCAGCCTTATTGGGTAGTGAGGCTCTTGGTTTAGCCTTCAGACACAGACGTCAAGCTGAAAACAATGATAACAATGACAATTTGGAAGATAGGTATGGTTGGAACAGGCCGAATAGACCAAACAACGGGCGTTTTCCAGACTTTTTCCCCGACTTTCCTGACCAATATCCCCAGCCACAGCCACGACCATGGCCAAGACCACAACCACAACCATGGCCAAGACCACAACCTCAACCGCAACCACAACCACAGCCACAACCAACAACAGTGATTCCCCCAAATACGTAAGTTTTAACCTGATTTATTTGTTTGGTTAGGTAGCACCCGGCACCCGCGCGGTGAATCCGTTGAATGATAAGAGGTTTCGGCTCATCTCGTTTGGTTAGGTAGGGAGAGGAGTTTGGACGGTGGAAGTGAGCGTTTAACGGATGTTAGACAGGGCCCCTACACCTACACCTGGATGTCGATGGACCTGGCACCCGCACCGTAAATACATTGGATGCTAAGAAGATTCATCTCTGTCTTTAATTATACACCCCAACTTGTGTATTTATGTGTTCTATATTCTTGTAGATCCTCCACTCAATCCAATGATGTTCGTCAGTGCATCCAAACTTGTCCCGTGACTGCTGAGTATAATCCTGTTTGTGGTTCAGACAACGTCACCTACGAAAACCCCAGTAGATTATCGTGTGCTCAAGCCTGCGGCGTCAGTGAGTATATTTTATATAAAAAGATTCAACACTACTTTTTTGGCTCTAAAAATCATTTACTTTAATAAACATTTGAGATGTTAGCAGTAACCTTACTATCGTTTTTATTATTATTAAATATGTATGATATTAATAATTTTAATGAGATCTAAGAATTTCGCGAGTATTCATTTAAATGAAACTAATATTATTTGGATTACTACGCGGACAGACGAGATTTCAAAGTCTCGTATGCCCGTGATCACGTTTACTGAAAAGTAACTGAAACGTCGCGTCGGGAGTATAGTTTATAAAGTATGTAGTAATATAATTTGATACTTATTATTATATGTAATAAGAATGTTTTTTCTTTCCAGATGTAAGCTTGCTCAGGTCATCTCGTTGTCCGGCTGCGACACCAGCACCTACCTCATAAATATTAGTTTCATAAGATTTTGCAGTACAAAACTCTTAATTAATAATAAATTAGTTAGAACTAAAATGTGTGTGAACTGTTTTTACCTTATATGATAACATTTTCCCAAACGTGTGGTGTAATTAATATACCTCTATCGGAAATATTATATGATGGTCATAACTCATAAGTTATAACATATTCCTTTATTCTAAAATTTCACCTCTGTGAGCCATTTACAGTTATTTAATCAAAATACTCGTAGCAAAATTAGCCAGAAAAACTAAGTCTAAAAACTAATTTATCTCAATATAACATTGACACAAAAAATACTTTGGAGGATAATTTTTTCACAATATACAGGGTGACTGGTGAATTACTATCAATATTTAAGGAGAATACTCGGTACATGATTCTCATTCGAATTATGTAAAAAAATAGGTAGTTAATTTTTTACCAAATTTCCGTATAAATAAATAAAGTGCGGACACGTTCCAAGTGTTCCAAGTGTGGACGCGTGCGGCGGCGTGCTGATACAACAAGACGCCGCCGCACGTGTGTGTGTGTGTGTGTATACCTAATCTGTAGGGTGTTCACACGATGCGTAATTAATTACATAACTTTTGGTTAACTTTACTTAGAAGTTTATTAATATTTTCACACTGTGCTATTAAAGTATACTCGACAAGTAAACGTTACATTAAAAAAACTGTTCAACTTGACCATCTTCGATCACGTTAGACCGGTTCCAATAATAAAGAGGCAACAAATATATATGGAATAAGTTTAAAATTTACGATGTCTTGCGGTAATGTTATCCTTATTTACTAAAAGTCAACTAAATAAACTATGAACATAGTAAATTTGAAATATTACAAAATTAGAATCTGCAATAAGAGATTTTAATATTATTATTAAACAAAATGCATGGCGAATACTCTCAAAACTTGTTTTACTGGTTCACAAAAAACAGATGTCGTTTATTTCTGCACAGCAAATAATTACCATATCTAAATATTTCGCTCGCATCACAATTTAAACACGACGAGTGAATTCAAAGCTTGGTGTAGAAGTACATGAGGGAAAATCCTATGTATGGTTAGCTTAGGAATTTTAAACGACACGCTTTATTTACTAAGCAAATATATGTAACCATATTTGATTTAGTTTAAACTTTGTTCTTGAGTTAAACTATTGAGCCTTGAAGTGTTAAACCGGTTTTTCATTCATAAATAGTTCTAACATCATGGTAATAGCCTAGATACATCAAACAGAATTAAACTCTGAATTTATTTTGCGTTTAGTTTTACTAGTGTTAAGACTAATGATGAGATTTGATTATTAGATTTATTTGTATTCATTCTGATATATTTTCCCAGAAATTTACGATGAGTATGGAGCTTCAATGTCAAAAATGTAAACATGACTAGTCAATGGCCTTTTGTTGTTTACAAGAACTAAACATTTAAATAAATACAAGGATACAAGAGTCCATGGAAGAATTTTAGCTATAATATCGTTGCTTTAAAGTTTAAAGAGTTTAATATTTATTTACGCCTGCCATAAATTCATAGTTTGAATATTACTTGCGGCGTAATTGCTATTAAATATTGTAAGTGATTATAAGTTTAAGACATTTTTCTTAAAATTACCTGTTATGTTTTATAATTGACTTACTGAACTTATTAAGGCATAACCACCACATTTTTAACAAAAAATACTTATAGAATAACCTAAAAATATTATATTAGAAAAATATTAATTGATAAGCAAACAAATGTCTATTATTCTTTATGGTAATATATAATACTAACACTCTATGCGTTTTAAATGACGATTTATGTCGTCATAATAATAAAAAATGTTACAAGTAAGTAATAATGTTAATATTTGTAAACTTCCATGTGTTTTTATACACTCGCGATAGTACGCTAGATAATCAAACGTTTTGCTATTAAAGCAAAGCGTATTTTTTCCTCTAAGGTGATTAAACGTCACATATTTTAATACGTAACACTTAAATAATATTATAATGATATTGTTTTTATTTATATTATTATATTTGTTATGCAACTATATTAAACAATAAGCCAAATGATATGTCTGTGGTAACTTTAACCTATGATTAATGTTTTATTACAATAAAAGGATATTTCCGGAATTTATTCAATATTGTTCATTTACCTTATTCACTATACTCTTTGTCTGTGATTAATCATGAGAAAAAGTAGCCCAGTTACATTTCAAATCAGATATTTCATTGAAACTGTATTAAATGATATGAGTCAACGCAAGGACGCAGGACCTTGGATGCGTTTTCTAATCCGTTTAAATAAAATGACGTAATACTGACAAGCGGGTCTTTTAAAATGTTTTATAAATAACAATAACCCTTTATTTAAATTAGCATTGATAACTAACAGTAGTAGTAGCAGATGACTTCAAGGTTTTACCCTAACAGTATCTATTAGGTATATTTAGCTTGAACTTACAAATTCGTGCTAAATACTTCAAACTATCTTATTTACGCAATTTTATACAACAGACTCACTCTATCTTGTTAAATATAATGAATCGTGATTTTCTTATATCAATTTAATATAAAACAGTAAGTACTGGGAAATAGTATTTTAATTTTTAAACATCCGATATCAGCTATGGTAATTGTTAGGGGAATTCTAAGCAATTGATGATCTAAGTTGAACATAATTTCAAGGATTTTAATATTTAAATAACATGTTACGCAATAGAAATATATTGCATAAATATTTTAACGCATCACGTAAAAATTCTATTGCAAATATTGTATAAATAACTGTTTTATCTTTATTTCTATTTACGCCTTTAGCAACAAACTCTAAACAAATTGTCTGAATAACATAATTATGTCTTAACACATACATATAACATGTTTAATAACAAATAACAAGATGGAGTATTTTATAGGTTGTAAAACAACGCATCTTCGTATATAGCAATGGATTTCTCTGTATTGTAATAAGTAGTCAATTTTATTAAAACAAATACTCATTAACCATAGGTAAGGATTAATAGAATACACTCTAAATTTGCCTTATAAATAATTTATTGACGTTTTTTTATTTACATTTTTTCATTTATTTATTGCGTCATGTAATACATTTAGAGTATGTAGTCTTGATTCTCTAGAGTAAGTTTAAAATACTATTTAAGTGTCAGACATTAATGTCTGTAGGTTCACTCTTGTGTTAAATAAATGCAAAGAAATTATAACCGAGATGTTTAAACACAAACTAGTCAGTGATGCTCCGTCAACATAGGTAAGTAAACGAAAAAGAAATATTTCTTTGTATAATCATTAGTAGTTTCTTCATTAAATTTAAAATATAATATTTATCTTATATTATTGTCTTTGTTTTATATTTGTGTGGAATAATGTGTTATATTTCTTTGGTCCTAAATTTTTCACCCCTGAGCGATAGGTTCGCGTTTTGTTTCACCAAATTTTTTTTAAAACTTATTTCCAATATTCTTTATGTAGATTCGTATTCAAACAAAATATATAACTGCATTTCCTAATAAAATTAAGAATTTGAATCTTACAATAGATTAAGAAATGAGATACGTCTAAAATGATAAGTTATTAAAAAAAACTATAAAGACATTCAATTATTATCCTAAAACCAAGTTTACAATTTTATGTCTTAGTCTAAAAGCACCATAAGAGAATATAAGTACCCCATCTCATCTACAAGTGTGACTGTTTTTTTCATTTTTACGTCATTAAAATTTGAAAACTTCGAGTGTTGGATAAAAATATTGATTGAGATAAAAGATTATGGAGAACAAATGATGTGCTAAATATCAATAAGTTCGAATTGAATGAAATCATACGATATATAAACAAACATTATATAAAAAAGAATAAAAAGGAATACATTATTTTTTATCAGCCTCATTATCATTGAATCTTAATATTATGAATGAAATGTATATATCTTTTTTATAATTTTATATCTTTTTTTAGGTATATATTGCAAACAAAGCACACTTTTCGTGGCCTTGTCATCAATATGTAAAGATTTACATATAAATCAATTAAAGAAAAATTACATTAAGGAAAATTTTTACTGTTATTCCTTGTTCATAAATTGCACATTCAAGATGAAATTAGAATTTAAAACACTTACTATTAGTCCGCCTATAACGACATTAAGGTTTTCAAAAATAATTTGAATCTTATTTAATATATTTATATGAAGTCCAATAGACATTGAAAGCAAAATACGTGACTTATGACGGGTTTTTCTTTAAGACGTTTGTTCTTTAAGTCAGTCTTTATTAAGTGTGCACACGGTATGAGCACTCATTTTGAACTTCAAAGTGGTTGTGATAAGGTATCTGTTTATAAAAGCGGAAAATTCGTAGTTTTTTGTCCGTATAGTGCTAATAATGTATAAATATAAACAAGTGTTATGTAAGTATTACGTAGAATGAAGATGGACATCTTACACATTCAGTTTTCAATCACAGTGATGTTATTTAATACAAGTATTCAAATGTATTGGCTATTAAAAGCTATGTGTTAATAACTTTTTATTATTATTATATATATACATAGATTCGAAAGCATTCATTTAAATAAAACTAATATTTATGAGATGAAAATCTCGTCTGCTCGTGATCACGGTTGCTGAAAAGTAATTGAAACATCAGGAGTATGTAGACTAAAAAAATTGTTTAGTTATCAGAAAATATTTTTTTAATTTATTTTATAATATTTTTCAGTTTTTTTGGTTTTTACCCAATCGGTATTCTCTTACAACAAATTTACGAGTAGATTGCCGAACAGTATTAGCAGAGATTTATATTCATATGAAGAGCCGCAAAACAATTATGACAGAAACCTTGATCAACCAAGTTGGATATACAAAAATCACGAGAAGACAAATTTTAACTATGAACCGCAGAATGATTATAATGATAGAATCATTTTTCCCGATGATAACGAACACTTTGAGTGAGTTCATATTTATACTTTAAATAAATAAATTACTTAATAACAAAAAGTATAATTATAGTATATATATTTTATCTAATATAATAGATAATGCTCTAAATTGAGTTTGTATTAAACGAGTCTGTCGTAAAATCATTAGTTGTCACTTAAACATCTATTAGATCTTCACAAAAACAGTTTTCCTCATAACTCATGTGAAGTAAATTATGAGTTTATACATTGTATACTATTTATAAGTCATTACTTTGATGTGTTAGAGATAATATTTGTGTTTTTTTTCAGCAAACATAAACAAGGGAATTCAGAGCTTGAGCGTTTTGTACGTAAATGTAGGCGTTTGTGTCCCTTAAAAGATAATTACAACCCCGTGTGTGGCACTGACGATGTTACGTATTACAATCTAGATTATCTGAAATGTGTCAGAGATTGCGGAGAAAGTAAGTGTTTTAAACTTATATTGAATAATATAAAAATATATTTTTGTTTCATGTGAACAGTTTGCCTTAAAACAATAGTGTTTGTGTAAGAAGGAATAAATATCATTTGTGTACATACGTAAAATGTGTAACGATTTTGATTGATTTTAAATTATATTTCACAAGAACGGTTACTAAAAAAATATTGGGATTTTTTGGGTTTGATATTTGAGAACTAAATACTAATGTAATGAATGGATATAAAATTTGTCCTAAAAGATAGATATTATATATTTAAAAAAAACACATTTAAAGGTTCTGATAATAATTAATTATTTCGTATGCATTTTACGTCTATGATTTTTTTCTGATACTCAATCAAACTTAATTAGAATAGTATTAAAGTAATAGTGTATATATTTTTTAACTATTTTAAAACTTACAATACAATAAGGACAAAGTGATTTCATTAATATATCAAAATTTTATGTATAAACATAATAATAACGATACAATTAAAATTAACCTTTTTATAATAAGGTCCAGTGACCTAGAAAAACAGTTGAAATGTCAGATCAACATTGAAAAGCCCGAATTCAAATATTTATATTGGCTGGCGTTTTAAATAAATAAATAAAAAAAAGAATGCGGTCATATGTCCATTATACTCAGATATTTTATACCACACACGTCAAGAGTCATTACAAAATTTACATCTTAAACTACATACGGAAATATTTGAGTTTTTCGCTAATAAATCTTGGTACATTGTAGTATTAACGCGGGCTTATGAACTAATATTTGGAAAAGCGCCGTCTTTAGTTAAAAGACGCATATTTTTAGTTTTAGATATATTCGGAGATACTATGTCATATTTTCTTATGATTAATTCAGTGAAATATTGCTATATTTCATATATCAATGTGACATTATTACTGACAATGAACTAGAGCGGACACAGAGGCGGAAGCATAAAACTTGGAATTTCATAAACATTGATCACATATAAATATTACCGTATTTATAACAATAAGTGAAGGCTATTACCGTTGGGACTATTGGAACATGTATTAACATTAATTATTTATAGTCGAATCCGGCTTACTCATACAGCCGGATATAATTGTGATTTGTGCCTGCATTAATTTGTGGTTTTGACAAAGAATATGCACAAAAACAGTATGTACAACCATCAATAGATTTGAATTTGATTGTTTATTAGAATTAATTAGTAGTTATGACATTCATTATTAAATAATTTACGAGTATCGAATACGCTCTTAATGAAGTCAGAATAAAACATCAAAAAATAATTTATTAAATTCTTATTTAATTACATAATATTGTAATATAATACAGTGGAGGTTTTTTTAATTTATTTTATTTATTTAAACTAACAATGGGCTTTGATTAATTTAATTTTGTTTTGTCAATTTACTTTTCTAAACATATTATGCCACAAATATCTGAAGTACACTTTCTTTATGTAAATGTATTGAAAAAGAGATGATTTTTGTTTTATATATTATTATTTTCGCATGCGTGTTTAGTTAACGTTAAAATATATTTAGGTAGCATGGAATTTCCTTAAAAATAATAATATCAAAATTAAAGAGGATACTAGTTTTCTAGGGCAAAGTAACATAAGAGAAAGCCAAGAAAGGGGCAAAATATTATGTCTTTATTTCATTTAAACTTCATTTTATTGTTTTTCTTAGATGAAAAACTTCTTAATTTTCACATGATATAACGTCCCAGTAAAGCTTTTGTTGTATCAAATTTGAGGTAGTCAGATAATCATGAAGGTAGTCTTTCATCCTTTAAAGAGACCAAGTCACTAGCACATAAAACCCACTTCTTTATTTCGTGTACGGCGAATCTGTGCAGTGCTCTTTGTTGTTAGTTTTGCCAACCAAAAACATGCATTGAACTAAAATGTGCATGAATAACATCAAAATCTTTATCAAATGTGATCGGAACAAATATTAATACATTGCATTTAATTTTAAAACTGTTTAAATGCACATTTTTAACTAGAAATTATTTTATCTTCTTAATAAGTATTATGTAGATATATCTCCTACTAGCACTTTATATTTGTTATCATCACACCTATAATAATAGACAAACTCAATATTTAGTGACGAACGTTTTTTTTAATGCAAGATACAAATATTATGAATACAAGAATTATGTCCGTGTTGATTTATACACTACAAAAAATAATAGGAATAATTTTCCACACTCCATATGCAATACCATAAAATGATTTTTAATAAACAGTTAATTAGTTACGCCCTGTATATGCACACTAAACGACGTCTTTCTTTTGACAGAGAGTATTATTGTATAGTATCTTCTTTTGTAAAATGTCGTGATGAAGTTAATATATTCTTATAAACATTTCTATTCGAATAAACAAGACGATGTATAACTATTAAATAGAAAGTACATTATACATTGTGAAGTTCTTGGAAACTTAACTGTGGATATTAAATTGCATTAAAATCTACGATATATTGGCTTGTAGAATATAATAGTTCATAATTTGATGATATTTTTTATTCATTTCAGATGTCGCATTAAAATATTTGTTTGCCTGTAATGGACAAGGTACTACAAGTAGCACGTTACCTCCTACTACTACTACGGACAACACGCGTTCATGTATGTCCCTGTGTCCCACGACTTCAGAATATAACCCAGTGTGTGGAACAGATAATATTACCTATAATAATATTGGGAAACTGTATTGCGCCCAGGCATGCGGTGTAGGTGAGACGATAGCCATTTATGATTTATTTAAGATTTAATAATATTCGAGGTTTTCACGAATCATTCAAATGAAACTAATATTTTGCGAATATAATACATATTTTATTATGGATAAAAACTACGAGCACATAATCCCGACGTTACTTAAATAAAGTAATAAAGTAAACGAAACGTAAATATAGTAACCGAAACGTCGGGGAGTATGTAGTTGTTATCAAAAATAAAGCCACGTAGTATGTAAATCCGCAAAATATTAGTTTCATGTTTAATATTTATTACGTTTACTGAGAAATATTCAAGATAATCATCTATTGCAATTAAGGTTTCAGACGTATTAGTATCTAAATCAACTTCTATCTGGTTACTCGTCGATGCAGGATACAATATGTATTAATAGATTTATAGATCTATATTTTTCCATTGGTACCTTACAGTCGAATAGCACTTAAACTTGCCACATGGGGAATTTCTGATAGCCAGTATAGCATATCTGCTCGTCGTAGGTGCTTTTACACCAATTAACTATAAAGCATCGGAATTAAATTACATAAAAGCTTTTCAAGGACTTGACCAATGTGTGTGAAGTAGTGTGCTATTGAGGTCATTCTAGTTTATTAGATTCTTTAACCGTGAAATGAATAAAATTTTTGTTTAATCCATTAATAGGTATGATACAAAAAGAAAAAGTTGCATCTGTTAATATACTTAGCACAAGTTTGTATTGACATACTATGTATATACAAATCGTTTTCCATTTCTCATTCAATAGCCTTCGTTTAATAGTTTAAAGTGCAGAGATTTATGTCATGAAAAACTGTAAACTTATTATATTTCTTGTCACGATGCTAATGAAAGGTTTAACACATAGGTTAGAAACCGTAGAACAGTTTGAATGAAAATCATAGTCTCCTTAATCCAATACACTGCTATGTATAATACAAATATTCTCTTTTTAATCAATGTTTGATACCTTTTTTAAATAAAAACCACAGTTAATTGAACTACGATTGAATAACACAAAAGTTAACTTAAATTTTATTTCAGAGGTCCAGTTACAGCGTCATATGCCATGTCCGAAGAAAGATCCTCTTGAAGATAGATATTTCACCAGCGAGTCACCAATCACAACGACAACATTGGATAGTCGTTATTTCAGATCATGTTTGGACTCATGCATAACTACATCAGAGTATAACCCTATATGCGCTTCAAACGGGAAAACTTATTATAATAAGGGGAAGTACCAATGCGCTAAAGGTTGCGGTTTGGGTACGTTATCTGAAACATTATCATAGTATAATTAAATGAGAAGAATAATAGAACAACTATATTGTTATATACGTAATATATTGCTTAATTATATAAAAAAAAAATAGTCCAGACATTTTTAACTCATATGAAGACGTTACTTATATTAATAATAATTGCAATATTATTAACATAATAGTTACATCAGAGTTGTTCACTGCCACTACGGCCACTGAACACGAACTTCACTTAATGATTCCAACTATGTAGTTTCGGGCCCGAGTCCGAGTCCCGTTCGGAATTGGGATAAAGGTTAGTTTACTTCCTTCCCAGGAGTCGAATCTATCTCTGTAACAAAAGTCATCAAAATCGGTTCTGTGGTTTAGACGTGAAAAGGCAGACAGACAGACAGGCAGAGTTATTCCCGAATTTTTAATATTAGTTCCGACTAGTAGGGATTAATATAATAATTGAAAACTATTTTTTTCTTTTCAGATATTTCAGTTAGAAGCATAGGAGCTTGTCATCAATTATCAGAACCTGATAATATTCCCAGTGGAACGACATCTTCTCCAGATGTATCGAGTCCAGCTTATATTGATAAGGACTTATTAGAACAGATATTCTCAAAGGAAGATCCCAGTGATACACTTATAGATGTCCGGAGCGCCTAATGCTTTAATAATTAATGTCGAATTCACTTACCATTAAACAATTGTGATATTTTTTTTATAATTAAGTTATTATAAGGTGAAAATCATTAAATGTTTAATTAGTAAATTATTTTTTTCATTTATTAATGTTTTTACATTAGTTATAAATTGTTTGAGAAGTCTTTAAAAATATCAGTACAATTTTTTATAGTCTTCAGAACAAAGTTACTGGCTATTTTATTGAGAATTTTTATTCGTTTTAAATATGTATTGCTTTAAAAGTACAGTAATTATATTATTGATTTCCTATTGCACTATTACCTGTTCAAAATTCCGTAAGTATATTTTGCGTATATATATTGTAAATTTATTAAACCTACTTATTGTTATTATTAACATAATACACCATTCTTTATAGACGGTTTTAAAATCCCCTGTAAAGAGACGTCTCCAGAGTGTTTGAAAAGTTCTCTCCAAGCTTTAATTCCTGAATTTGTTAATGGTATCCCGGAGTTGGGTATCGGTAGACTGGATCCTTTGAAAGTAGATGATGTTAAATTGGAATTACCTGGAGGTATAAAAATTGACTTCAAAGATGGTTCCAGCCAAGGTCTTCGGAAATGCACTGTTGATGTTGCGAGGTAACAATGCAAATCAAAGAACAGTAGAAGAAGAATTTTCTTCGTTACTTGTATTCTCACAAACTTACTATAAATTCCCTTTTCTTGTAGACCGATTGGGGACAAATACGAACTAGTATTTCATTGTAATTTACTCATCAAAGGCAAATACCGTTCTTCCGGTAAATTACTGATGTTCCCTATTGATGGCCAGGGCAATTCGACAATTGCTTGCAGTAAGTTTACATTTGACATATCTATTTTTTGATTTAAGATTTCTTATAAGAAGTTTCGCACAAATTCTATTGTAAAATACAGGACTACCAAATTAATTATATGTAGATCTAAGACTTTCGCGAGTTTTCGTCATTTAAATGAAACTAATATTTTTCGGATATGCTACGGGTGGTTTATTTTTTTAAAAAACTACATACTCTCAACGTTGCCGAAAAGTAGTCGATACAGTTGTTGAAAAGTAATACAGAATTTGATACCACTAAACTACCCTAAAAATCATATAGCCTTAAACAGAAGGTGTAAATGTATTTTTTTACAGAAAATTTAAAAACCAGGTGCACATTCAGATTGACGACTATAAGGAAAGGAAATGAGGAATACATTCAAATGAAAGATATTGATGTCCAACATACTTACGAGGGCCGAGTGGTTTACCACATGACCGATCTTTTCAAAGGCAACGCTGAAATAAGTACGTAAACAAATGTTGATTATGTTTACATTTTTATATGGAATTTTATAAGGCTCAGAAAACCGATTGGAATCTTTGTTACATCCCAGGCAAAAAAAATAATATATTGCAGTCACATAAAATCCCAATTTCCATCAATTTGAATAAGCAGCTATCTTTAAAGAGTGATATAATTTATTTTTAAATTTTAGGTAAAATGGTGTTAGATTTCATGAATGAAAATTGGAAGCTTGTTGCCAAGGAGTTTGGTGGACCTGTAATTGACTATGGAACGGCAGCTATACTAAATAACGTCAAGAAAGTATTAGACGAGGTTCCATTAAATGAACTAATAGAAAAATAATATATTTTTAACTTCCTACGTGTAAAAATATAACTAGTTTAAAGCAATCTGAAATTTGTTTTTTATTATTCCTGATCCCCTGCTTATGCATCGTTACAAGATAATGAATAGTTACAAAATTCTTTTTACCGTTTATTATATCCCTAGACCCTAAGTGATAAAATGTTTAACAGTTGTATATAAAAGTACTATGTGCCAAACAGCATGCTAATTTTGGCTACATAAAGAAAATATCTCTTTTCTTTATGGTTGTAGTGGATTTTAGAAGAGAGGGCTTTTGAGAGCCAAAAACCGTGTCTTCGACAGAACGAACGAAACAAGATTCAGTAGTTCCCTATATGTTTATGTCCTACAGGTTATGTAACCTTAAAAATAAGTCATTTAATGTCATAGTTAATGCCCCGGAAAGGTTAATGCTGATATAATTAATTATTTATCAAACTAGATTAAACTGTTATTAATTTTAATGTTTATCATAATGCAAGTTTAATTAGCATCGGCTTGCCTAATTTTAGATATTGGAGTAGGATAATGTACTCGTTTAGCGTTAATTTTAAACCTTTCTTGTAAAATGTTACATTTGCCCATAGTGGAAAATCTTTTATTTTTATTAAATAAATATAAAAATAAAATTTTAAGTGCTAATACCGTAACCATTCTAACCTAACATCATCCTATTTGTGTTATTTAAAGTTAAGATACGAGTATATTATGTTTATAAACAGTGGCCGGCTCTTGCACAGGAACAAATTGAATATACATTTCACAGTAGCAAAAAAATCATAAATTAAAGTAGAAATATAATTATATTCAAGAAATTATATAGAAATATATTTAAGAAATTTTTCTTAACGAATATAACGGAACAAGAGAAAAACTAAATTATTTTTGACTAATTGCAGAAAAGAAATTGGACGATAGCGAATTCCAATAAAATCTATTCTTCTTCAATGTCTTTCATTTACTTGAAGAAAAAGTTAAAATAGCTTAACAGAGTAGTTTTCTAACCCAAAAGTTTGGAGAGCGGAAGCATTGTGCTTACTTAATGATCTTGCTTAAAAGATTACTTGGTAGAATTTTATTTGAGGTAACCTTATATAATAAATGAAGACAGAATTAACTGGTCACATGGCATTTTAAAGTACCTATGATACCCAATGAGCATAATATTATAATCTAAATTTAATAAGTGTTTGTATATTAGATAGAGCACTTTTTAGTCAATATAGTAAGGATTTATTATTTATTATAATAAGGATTTGATTTGGTATGCATTTGAGACAAGGTCAAAAATCTTATATATATTGAAAATTTCAAAGGATATTTTCATAAAAAAAACTAGAGTACCAATAAATTTATTGACGATAAGACAGAATTATTATTAAAACACATGCTATTTTAATACATTTAAAAGATATCTCTATGAGCAAACTAGACTAAAATTACATTTTTTAAACTAGCAAAACAAAAACTTAATAGAAGCTGAGTTAGATTATCACAAAAATATCTTAAGGATTATCTAATTCGTTCCTTGTATAATTAAAATTAAGTACGTTGATGACACACTGATAAAGCCAAGGAGTAGTTGTATATTCATACAAAACATTCTGCTAGCATAAACTTGCAAGGGCCAAACTTCGATCAAATCAAAAAATGATTTTGCTTGAATTCTCATCTCATTTGGCAGCTTATAGTCCATAACGATCTCGTTGACTAGAATCCTTGTGGAACGTCGTTTTGTTGTCAACTCTTCACAAACGTAGCACATAATTATTACAACACTTATTTCAACTGTACTCTCGAATATTATACCTGGCAAGGAACTTAAATGGTCTTTAGTTCGAATGAAATGTACAAAAGACCATAATGATATGATTATGTATATAAAGTTAGACGCTAGGTACAAAAAAATGTTGATTGAACACATGTTATTCAGTAATAACAAGGACTCCCCTAGCCCTTCATAAGCAAAGGCTAAAGATGTAATTTTTGTGTTTTGATGATTAATATTTCCTATGTAATCATCCTGTTTATTCCCCTCCAGATTTTCTTTCGAGATTACCATAGGTCGGATCTTATCTTTCTTCTCTACAAAATGATTTAAATATTTGTTTAGAACCTCAATTCTTTTCGATATCATTTTTAGATAAAGGTACAAGAACAATGTTTCTAAGTGAAATTTAAAATCAATCAACGCTTCCATAACATTATATATTATCGCAGAAGGGCTTTCAACATAATTTTGAGTTATAGATGAAATCAATATTAAAAGAAATATACAAATTGCAAATCGGCTTCTTCTGTGAATTTTCTTGTGAAAGCCCTTGTTGTTGTGCAGTTTTAACAGACAATCGGTGTAAGCAAAAGAGTTGATTATTTTTATATAATTTTTACTGTTGCAAAGGAATACTATAAGAGAAAAAGAACTCTGTACCACTGTAACTACCATCGGCAGTCTGTCTATGTAGTCAGTAGAGTCCAAATGAGAATTAAAAATTAAATCCAGTTTTATATTAAACCATGTATCCAAAATGATGATAGTCCATACAAAAATTATAAAAACTGGTATCAAGATTCCATAGCTCTTCATCGCTATATTAGGTTCAACTAATTGACCATCGATCACTCGATATTTTATAATTCCATAGAAGTTTTCAACTTTCCGTAGCAGACTCAAAGAGTCCACTATATTAGAAACCGCCTCGTCGTGGTCTTTGTCACTCATTCTTGAAATAGTACTGATATCAGTAATTTACAACGGCAACTGCTATTTTCTCTATATAAAAATTCATGTTTTTCAAATCGAACATAATGACCTTATAAAAAATTAATTTAATCACTTATTTCAGTGAACTAAGGAGACAATTAGGGAAATTAAAACCTTATAGAAGAAATTGTATTTTCTTAAGGACAAGAATTGGATTTTGTTTTCCTTTTCTATTGTTTATTTTATTTATTAAAAAAAATTATATAAAAATTTTGTTTGGATTTTTATTTGCGTATTTAAAAATTCTTAACTTATTATAGAAAACGTTACCAAAATATTTATTTAAATGTAGCTGTATATCTTTCGGTAACAATAAATAATTTTTGCTGTAGCCATGGTCACCGGAGGTAAAAATAAAATAAAAAGGTCTTTTAGTAATATTTAAATACTAGTTTTTGCCCGCGACTTCGTCCGCGTTAGTTTCGTCATTAGTAATATATGTATAGCTGACCAGGTGAACTCTATTCCGTCTTAGAGGCCATAAATAATCAGGTTTTTCCTGTTTCAATCAAACAGAATGATTGACATATTAGTTAGTTGTCAAATCTAATGTCAAAAAAAGCGTTTGTATGGGAAATAGAAAAGGGCTGTTTTTAGGGTTTTCCCGGCAATTATTCCAATTTTTCTCACCTTTTATGCCTTCCCTGAACCTCCACAAACATTTCAAGACTAAGATAAGACAAATCCGTTCAGCTGTTCTCGAGTTTTAGCGAGACTAAGGAACAGCAATCCATTTTTATATATATAGAAGATTTGAGATATATCATGGTAAGCCTAATGGTGTGTGGTCACCGTCACTCATGGTCGATTGAAACACCAGTTATATAACGAGGAGTTGCTTGTGTGGAGTACAAAGTAGGTTCCTTCCTACTTGAGAAATACGTTGTAGCTTATATGAAAATTTCAAAATATTCAAATACTTTTTCACCTCAACGGTCTGAACTGTTGTTTAGAAAAAGAACGTTTGTTTTAAACTTGTGGAATAAAAATGAAACATATAGTATTTAAGGGTCGTCGTGATTGACCAACACATCCAGGAAATAATAAAACATACATACATTCATCCAAAAACATTTATTTAAATCTTACTTGTTTCTTTTCGTAGCTTGTTTAAATAGCATAGCATTCTTAACGTTAATAGCAATTGCTCTAATTTTCCTTCCAATACAAAAACCCAAAAATTGAAATACTATCCTACAGGTCTATCATAATAGTTTCATGGCTAAGTAGCCTTGTCCAAGGGATTTATTCAATTAATTTGACATAGAAAAAAGCAGTTGTCTAGTATAGGAAGACCTTTGATTTTGGGTATTCAAATAAGAATGAAGATTAATATTCACACACACTTACCCGTTTCTTATGATATTATGTCCTGCCTACAATTTAATAAGAGTGGAGTTCTGTACTGGGTTCCGATGTACTAGCTTTTACCCTCCACTTCTTCCGCCTAAACAGCTAATAGTTGTTCTCTGCCACAACGGTCACTGAACCTGAACTGCACTTCATGATTCCACCCGTGTAGTTTCGGAATCGGGATTAGGACTGGGTTCGTGGTCGGTGATGAAATATTTTAAAAGCTGATAATTTGAACTATGGATAGGTAGCACATTATAAAAATGTGGGGTGCAGTTTAACCGGCGTAATTACAGGTTCCTTTAATCACTATACCAAAATTCTTTAAAAACGGCTCAGCAGTTTAGGCGTACAAACATAACAGACAGAAAGAGTTACTTTCGCATTTTTTAAAATAGTTGGGATACTAAATAGCGGTTCCATATAAAGTCTGACTTAAAGGACTACTTACCAAAACTTTTATTATTATGGCTTCTCGAAGGAACTACTCACGGTTTTATGGAAAGTTAAAGCTGATATTCCAATGTGAAAAATACATTAATGGTCAGTTTTATTAAAATCTGTTCAGTCTTCTTCTACTACTTCTACCTGGCAATTTCCCAGCTATAGCCAGGGTCTGCCTTACATGTTGTGAATAGTTTTTGGCTATTTGTTTTTACGACCGGCCGCCTGCCTGACATCAACCCTTTTTTGGGAATCAACATTAATCAGTGATGTCTAAATACTCTTAAAAAGTACATATGATTCGGAAAAATCACATTGGTACTTGCCCGGGCCGGGATCGAACCCGCGCCCTCGGCGACGAAAGGCCGAGAGGCGGACCTTTTAACCACTGGGCCACCACTGACTTTAAAAAAAAAATCTGTTCAGTCATTTTCTC